TTTGCATCGGGGTTGTCAACAAGTTGCTTCAATTTTTCTCCAAATACATCAAGAGGAGCTTTATCCGGTTCAAACGTTGCGTGAAATCTCCGATTTAGAGGAACCCGAAACATAATATTTTTCATATCCTCCAGAGTGACAGCAAGTTCCGTATCAATGTCTTTACCACGGTGCTTATTAAATCCCACAACTGATTCGTATAGGTCACTGTATCTCAGTGCCCATTGGGAAGCTGGATGGTCGATGTCAATTTGGTATTGCCTAGTTGGAGACAGATAATATTTTTCTAATACGTTCGTCGCAGAAACGAAGGGAATTTCACAATCTTCTGCTTTTTTGGCCCAAAGTTGGGTATAATCTGTTCCGGATAGCGCAATAAGCCCACTACTTTTTAAAACTCTTTTGCATTCTTTCATAAACGTTTCAAAATTCATATAATGAACGACATCGTGACAGATGACTAGATCAACAGATTTATCTGGAGTTGGAATATTGTATTCATCAGCAACATGAAAAGTCATTTTCGTATCTCCATCTCCCCACAATTTTTTTGCCTTGTCTATTTGAAATTCACTGTTATCGTAACCTACCAAAGAACGAAAGTACTTCAAAAATGGTTTTGAAGATTCGCCTGTTCCGCAACCAGCATCCACCATTAAGTCAAATAAATCATTCTCGTTATCTTTATTGAGTTTTTTCAACTTTTTGATAACATACTTCGCTACTGACTGAGGAAATTTTAATGCAAACTGACTATAAATATTAGATGAATTTTCAGATTTATAATCGTCCATGATTCCGGTCTCGTTATATAATTTTATTACTATCGCTGTAAGCAAAATAGAACGGTCTCGTCATTAATACTAAAACCGAGAGACCTCATTTATTATATGGGTAAATTCGTAAGCTGCAGCTGACGTGCTGAAACAGATAATTGGCGAGAATCAGCTACCGATTCGTTACATCGGGTTCAAGGTTGTCATCGGAACAGACATTTATCCTTCATAAGTCTATAAAACTGTAGTTAAAGGGAAATCGGCTCTATTATATATAATAGTATATCTTGTTATCTATTGTAAATCTACAATCTTGAAGGTTTATCAAAAATATTCGTTGCTATCCTCAACATGGACCTTTTGCCGAATATCGACTTCCTTGTTTACTTCGTGACATTGGCCAATCAGCAAGATGCGAAAATGACGTAACAATGCTCCGCTAGCATCCGCTCAGACACTTTTCTCACTCAGACAGATACTCAAGCGTGGTCGTAAACATTACCTCGTTTTCGCGTTTTTGAACTCTATTGTTTCGTTTTCAGTCGTGTTTCGGAAACTTAAATATAAATCAGATAATTCAATGATCACCCTGTCTTCCTAGGAGTTTTAATTTAATTGCAGTAATAAAAAATAAGTGTAGAAATAGTTGTGATAGACTAGGCTAAAATTCTTTACCGGTACTTTTAAAAAAACAGATTGTTGTATGCGATGAATCATAATGATGGTTTAAAAAACATATCCCATTTTACTGGCGCCAACTCGCAAAAGAACTATTAAAATAGCCCCGAATTTTGCAATGGTAAAGTATAGGAAGAATTTTTCGGGGGTCAAAGGTCGGGTAAAGGTCCATATTGGCTGCGGTAAGTTCCTGTTAGCCAAACAAGAGGAAATTAGGGGTTTTAAGTGTGTCATGCGTTAGAATCGGTACAACTCATAACCACTCATTCTAATCAATATATCATCTTTGCTCGAAACCTTAAGTTTTCATTGGTGCAAAGTCAGTAATTCTGCTATACTACATACAAACTATACCTGTATATGCTTCACTGTTACGCCACTTGTGAATTCAGTACCATGAATCCATGATACTTTGATATGGTTAACGCAAATAGAACTGAATTTCAGTTGCTGTTAGAATTTTGTTCATCTGTGCTCCTATTTGCAATTGATGTGCTACGCATGCTTCCTCAGTACAGTACTGTATATATTTCTGTGCATTATCAGGCAACGACAGTATAAACCAGGTGTAGCCAACCTGCTTTCGACCGCGATCGACTGATCGGTAATAAAGTCATACACAATAACGAATGGATATACTGAATATGTAGATAACTGCACACGCGCATACTACCGCCTGGCATACTGCGGAAGTTATTGTAGGATCGTTTGTAAGTCTAGACACGCGGACGCGATATTCGGCACTTCATTTTTAAACTTTGGCAGGAGAAAAACTGGCATTTGTTACGTAATAATATGCTTTATCGGGCCCGTCCAGACTCAAATATCTTGTATGTGTATATTGTATTTTGCGCCTGTAATGTACTGTATTCTTCCTGTTGTAAAACACACAACTAATTCGAGGCAGTTTTTGGAGGTATTTCAATAAAATTCACTCAACATCAGAATTTTAGATATGCATCGATCGTAGATTACCTCCAACCAAAACCGCTTTGTTCTCTATACTATATTCCATTTATTTTTTCGATAAACCGCCGTCGATCTATCATTCTTTCCAATACCTTGCATAAATTGCTAGTTCATAACGACGGTTGTCTTTATATTTTTTGGATTCAAGAATCGTAATTGCAATAGAGCGCTTTCATGCATCTGGAATACTTCCTTTGTTAAAAATTGAATAGTTTGAGCAATTTTGTCCAATCCTGGAGCTTTTGGTTTAAAACTTTTAATCAATTTGAGGATAGTCTTGAAGATTGTCACGTCATGTAAGGGTTCGTATGCGATTTTTCTTTGAAGAAATGTTGGGGTGTAGTTTTTATTACTACTGGCCGCCGAAAACGAACCCCCAAGAACTTCTTTCTTAAATCGGAATCTTCTATTGCTACTATACCATTGTTTTGTAGGTTGAGTATTGTATGCCTTACTTTTAGTGAGACGCTTAACTATATCCATAGATTGCAGAGTTTTTCATCCTTTTCGATTGAGCTACAGTAATTATGCCAGCTTTGCCTTTTTGCTTTTAATATTATTATTCTTTCTTCATATCTTCGTTTTTTTTTATACAGTATCACATTATCGATGGACATCGACCTTTTCATTTTAAGGAAAGCCGCTACATGTATGTGTATAATTTAAAGTTGCTGTTTTTTTCTCTTTGTTTTTTACACAAATTACTGCTCTGTCATCAATGTGATGATTATTATTGTTCGACGTTAAAAGTCATTGTTAATGATATTTCTATATTTTAATTATTGCTGAATCTGTGATAATCTGATTGCCTCATTATTACTTTTGGAGCTCCAGAAGTATTTGAGACCGAAACATGTCCAGTGAATATTTAATTACAGAAACTATAATAAATAAAACTAATCTTGATATTTGTTCTGATTCTCTAGACCTGTTCACACTCAAAAACTTTATGTGATCTTTTAACACCACGACTAGCATTATTAACTTTAGAATATTAAATTTCCGACTCTCACATATACATTTTATCTCTAATTTTATCCATATTTCATCTCCAATGCTTTATCTGACTGATTTCTTATATACAGCATTGGTCAGGAGCCTCGGTGGTCTAACTGGTCTTACATACTGGCCGTCACAAATAATGATAACCAATTATTATTTGTGTCTGTTGCTTTAAATGTTTTATAGTGCTGACATTATTTGTGAAATAAATCTCTAGGCCGCGAGCCGAGGCCATTTATCTTTCCGTTTCGTAGCGCACATAAGGTACCTGAAAATGATTTTTAAATGTTCCTTAGAAATTTAGTAACAAATATTGCCTTGTTCCCACTTACAAAAGTTGCACGTTTTACAGAAAAGACGCTTTCACTACAATAAATATGTGTTACCATCTGTCCTATTTTCTCTGCTTTTCCGGTATCATGGGCCAATGAACGCAGACTTCTGCATGACGTAACAATCAAATTAGTCAGCTGTAGGTGGATCCCCAGTGGTCGGATGAATATCAGATGTACTACTACTGCTCGCTTTTGCTTCGAGTACCGGTGGCCTTTCCATAGTCTTTTTCAGTTATTATTAGTTCAGTTATGCTAAGGAGGTGTTGAAAGGTAAGATATTAAACACTTGTATATCCTTACCATAAATAGCAATTTTAGTTGAGCACTAGCTCATAAGACGTTGTTAAATAGGTACGGTGCGGTAACTCCAAGGAAGGCTAGACCTAGAATAATATGTCACAAACAACGATATTTTCTGGCTTGCATGAAATGTTTATGATTAATTTAATGACTCTTCTTGACTATTCAGCAGACTTATACTACTATATAGGCCACAGCATATTTGGAAATAGGAATTAATGGCTGTTTCTGTAATGCACGGTTGTGTGAAAGAGAAGAAAATAATCAATTTTACTAATGTCGGTTGGTCTAAATCTAAATTCATAGAGTCGACAAGAACCTGGGAAGCAATGATAAGTTATGCCGGAGTGGAAAGAAAGTAGCATTGGAAACGATTGAGAGTTGAGAAATCAACTTGTAGACAGACAGTTGATGTTTTAAAATATCGTCCATACTCATACTGTCATAGGGCATTTCAGACTGTGATATATCAAAATTTAGTGTAGATATAATGGTGTGCAAACACTGCTGGACTGTAGTACATGCAATGAGCATATATACGCTCATTGAGTACATCAGATAAAATGCATTTTGTATTCAAGGTATTAGTTAGTATTTAGTGGTATTTTTACACTCATGCTGTGTTATGTTCTGCTACGTTGTGTACTTATATTATATCTGGCTACTTCTAATAGCACTGACAGACTGATTTACGATTCAGTATGTTGTATTGCAGAAACTTGTATTTGTTATTCAAAACATTACACACAGATTATATTGGATACAGAAGCACACACGACGCTAGCTGAACATAGAAAACTAACAGTCAACTCTCGGATGACCTTTGACCCTAACTGATAGTTGCCATACATTACATCCCTTATTCTTTCAGTAGAAACATATACACTTACACTGAAATAAAAAGAACACAACACAACGAAAACTTGCATGCACAATGCTATTAAAGATTAAGCCTATTTGGAGGATGTATAATCCGACCACGCCTAGTAACATAGTATCTGTTATCTCTCTGATTATTTCGCAATGTAGCATTGTGGTTATCTGTTGCTCTGTGCCTATTATTAGGAGGTGGGCTGTGGGTATTTTCATTATCAGAATCAACATGGGGATCATAATCAGAATCATAATGATGAGCATTTTTATTGGCAATGTTTGTAGATTTTCTAAGATGCTTTCTATTCCTTCTGTATTTTCTTCCATTCGATTGAACAATATATGATCTTGGGTTTTGATGATGATCAATTATAACAGCAGGTTTCCATTGTTTAGAACCAGGTAATGGTGACATCCTGACATCATCTCCCTTTTTCAGTTCATCATGCTCTATCATACTTGATTTGTCATAATAGTATTTTTGTTTGGCTTTCTCTAATGCCATTCTACGTTGTACTTCATTTCGATCAAAAAATGATGGAGCGAGCAAAGCAGTAGCTATGGGCAATGTATTTCTTGTGCGTCTACCCATCAGAAGTTGTGCAGGTGATAAACCAATTCCTTCCAGTGGAGTTGTTCTATAGTCAAGTAATGCAAGATGCTTGTCTTCACATTTTCTCCACAGATTTTTGACAGTTTGAATACATCGCTCTGCTTCTCCATTACTACTTTGAAAGTACGGGCTTGACATTTTATGTTCAATACCATATGCTTTACAAAACTTTCTGAATTCATCAGAATTATACTGACTTCCAGTATCAGAACGTATTAAGATTGGTATTCCATGTCTGCAAAATTGAGACTTCAGAGCATTTATTACAGATTTACTTGAAATATCACGAAGCTCGTCAACTTCAATGAATTTAGAATAATAATCAACTGTTATTATGTAATTTCTTGCTTCAAATTCAAACAAATCAGTTCCAATTTCTTGATATGGCAATGTAGGCGGAATTGATGGATTAAGTGGTTCTTTAGAAAGTGCTTTCTGATAAGTTGCACACTTTGAACAATATTTTACTAACTGTTCTACATCAGAGTTCATTGATGGCCAAAAGAACACCTCACGAGCTCTTTGTTTACATTTAACAATGCCCAAGTGTGACTCATGAACAAGTTTGAGAACATATTGCTGCATACTGGGGGGAATGACAATTCTCATACCTTTGTAGATAATGCCATCTAAAACAGCAAGTTCACTGCGAGAATCCCAGAATGGACGAAGTGAAACATCCAATTCTTTTCTCGTGTCTGGCCATCCATTTTGTATGGTCAATTGCAGAAAGCTGAGCTCTTCCTTTGTCAACTTTTGTAATTCCAAGTACTTTTCTTTGGATACTGAAATAAAATCCATCATATTTATATATTCCAATCCATAAATTTCTGATGACTTATCCGTTAAGAAGGCTCTAGACAAAGTATCCGGTAAAATCATGTCTACGCCTCTTCGATACTTTATTTCCAGATCATACCATTGCAAATTCATGAACATTTTCTGTAACCTCATTGGTATTGACAACCAAGGTTTCTTTGCAATCATTTCGAGAGGTTTATGGTCATTGTATACTGTGACTCTTTTTCCAAAAATATAGCAATGAAATTTCTTACAAGCATGGACAATTGACAATAGCTCTTTTTCTATCTGAGCATATCGCTTTTCAGTATCAGTCATTGCTCTTGACGAGTAAGCAATTGGTCGTCCATCTTGCAACAGAACAGCACCTAGGCCATTTTGACTAGCATCACAATGAATTTCAACTGGTTTTGTGACGTCATAGTATTTCAGAACAGGCGGTTTACAACAAAGTTCTTTCAATTTACAGAATGCCTCTTTTTGTGCAGATTGCCAACTAAATTCAACCTTCTCTTTTAGCAGTTCTCTGAGTGGTGCATCAACTTCACTAAATTTCGGTATGAATTTTGACAAATAGTTCAGAAAAGACAGAAATCTTTTTACGTCAGACTTGTCTTTTGGTTCTGGCATATTGCGTACAGCTTGAACTTTTGCAGGATCCGCTTTCAAACCTTCAGAAGTTAATAAATGACCAATGTATGGTACTTCATTTTTTCGAATCAAGCATTTTTTGAAATTCAGACTTAAATTATAGTTTGTTGCTTTTTGAATAACCTTTTTCAAGATCTCATCATGATGTTTAATATCCCGTCCAGTGACTAGAATATCGTCCATTATAGCAACAGCTCCAGGAATGTCTTCTAACATTCTATCCATAATTCGTTGATAAATTTCTGGACTACAAACCAAACCATATGGAAGACGTAACCAACGATATCTCCCAGCAATAGTATTGAATGTTGTTAAAAATGATGATGCTTCATCCAGCTTAATTTGCATGAATCCATTCTTTGCATCTAGTACAGAAAATACTTTAGCATCTGGTATATCAGAAACTACTTCTTCGATCGTTTTCATAGGATGATGCTCTCTTTTTATTACTTTATTAAGATCGGATGGATCAATACAAATGCGCAATTTATCTTTTCGAACAGACACTACCATTGAACTAACCCATTCTGTTGGCTGTTCAACCTTAGTAATGTGGCCATTTCTTTCCATTTCATTGAGCTTTTCGATTATCTTTATTTTCAAAGCAACTGGTTGTCTTCTGGCTGCATGTACAACACCTTTAGCATTCGGAACAAGTTTGATAGTGTACTCTCCAGGCAGTGTACCACTAGTATTTGACATTTCAGGAAATTCTCTGAGTGTTTCATTTGTCAAATCAGATGTTATATCTAATGGCTGTAGTCTTGAGATCAAGTTCAGCTCTTCAGCAAGATCTCCTGATATAACATTTTCTTGTTTAAATTTCACAATTTCAAATGTAGCTTTAACATTTTTATTGTTGTGACTGATATTGAAATCAACTGATGCTACTGGTTTAGAACAGTGATTTGTGTAACTTCGCAGCAATTTAGTAGACTTTTTCTGTATGCCTTTATCTGACATATTATTGTAATCTGACAGAGTTATTGTATTACAACCAGCTCCGGTATCAATTCTAAAATTCAGTGGACTTTTGTTTAAGAACAGTGTTACATACCATTTTCCATGGCTATGCTTTTTGTAATTCAATGCGTGTAAGTCAACAACTTGTGGTTCAGATTCCATTGAATTCATTGACGACATTTCATCATTATTTTCAGATGTTGTTTCAGATTCTGTTTTGACAGAATTTATTTTCGTACGTCGACGACAGACTGCTTTCCAGTGATTAGGTTTTTTACAGTAAGAACATTGTGACCCAACTGCAGGACAATTACCTTTATAACGACTGTGTGAAATATCGGTTCCACAGCGAGAACATTTTTTGTCATATTTGCGGTCAAATGATGCATTCTTTGATTTTTGCTTCTTGTCCGAATAACTGAAATTTGATTGACGACAAGGATTTTGTGCAATTCTGGAGACTGAAGAATCCTCTTCATCTCGTACTATACGTATTTGCTTTTGTGCAAGTTCATACTGCTGACCAATTTCCAAAGCTTTAGCTAGTGTTAGATCTTCTCCTTTATCTAAAAGTCTTTCTTGCAGTTTTTTCTCATGCACACCATCAATAATACAGTCAATTAGAATATCATCTGAATCAGCATATTCACAATCCATTAGAATGATTTTCAAATCTTTAACAAAGTTGTCAAACGATTCTGATGAGCCCTGTTTACGTCGCATCAATTTATGTCGATTAATTCTTTTATTCTTTCTGGGTCTCACATATTTCTCAAAATTAGCCAAAACAGCAAAAGGATCTTTTTTCTCTTCTTCTTCCCAAGTCAGAGTTTTGTAGATTTCTCTTCCTTCATGTCCTATCCATGTTCCAAGCCATCCGGCTTTCTCAGCTGCAGGCAATTTGGCTAACGGTCCATCAAAAATAAACTGAACATGGGTTTTGAATCTGCAAAATTCTTGGTACAGATCATGACTATTCCAGTCAATCATTGGATGATCAAAGTTATTTGACATTGACATCTCGGATTCAGTTGCAGTTAAACAGATTTGAGTTTCAATTCAGACTCGACGGTTTTTTCAGTTTAACAGATTTCAGACTTTATCCAGTCTTCTGACACCATGTTATGTTCTGCTACGTTGTGTACTTATATTATATCTGGCTACTTCTAAAAGCACTGACAGACTGATTTACGATTCAGTATGTTGTATTGCAGAAACTTGTATTTGTTATTCAAAACATTACACACAGATTATATTGGATACAGAAGCACACACGACGCTAGCTGAACATAGAAAACTAACAGTCAACTCTCGGATGACCTTTGACCCTAACTGATAGTTGCCATACATTACATGCTGTTCCAAACAGAGCCGTTATATAATGGCTCTGGTTCCAAATATGATTTTCTTCCTCATTTTAGATACTGTACTACAAAAGAAAACGGCAATGTTCCACCAATCCGACCTAACGCAGGCTCTAATCCCCACTGCTATCAGTGCTATAAAATGTATTGAGCAAGAAGTCTTGAAGCGTAAAGGTATATGAGAATCATAATAGTTGCAAACAGCTTAGATGGGCTATTCATATTGAAATACTTTAGCACTTTTCTGCAATTGGAACTGCCCATCAAACTCATGTTGGAGACTTCATTGAGGTTTTCAATTCATTTTTTTCTCAACTATGAAGATCTTTTGAGGTTAACGAGGCATTAATAAATAAAGCTGAGGAATTTGTTTGTTCACTGTATGAAGAGGATATGAAGAATGTAAATTATACCAAGGCATGTCTATTTAACACTGGCAAACATAAGGATTATACTCTCCACCCAACAATGATTCACTGAAGAAGCATGTGGCCCTCAAATCAGTTCTTGAGTTGGCAAACTGCAAGTGTAAGAAAAATAGTCAAAATAATTTATGCAAGTGTGCCAAAATCAACTTAAATTGCACAGATTTTTGTATTGACTGCAAAAATCACAGTACACTTATAGAGGAAAAGTCGATTTTCGAGATAGTGGATTTCGAAAACAATTCAGAAGAAAATGAATTAGATATTGCAGTTGATTTAATAAGTATCATTTATTTATTTTTTTTGGACATTTGTTAGTGTCGTAGTCCTGTTTCTAGAAATAATATTGCCTTTGTTCAAATACATAACCACATAAACTAAAAAAAGACTAATTGTAATATTTCTGTTCACTATGTTATGTACACATTGTACATTCATTTAATTTTCTTGACTTTTCCGGTAAATTTCTAAGTGAGAAATAACTGATATATTTGTGTTTTCGTGCTCACGATGTTAATTTGTGACTTCATTGCTTAAAAATAAATACTTTTGATAGCTTCTGTAAAATGGATGTAGCTTTTTATGCTGTTCTTGTTGTAAACTGCTTGTGGTTATTACATAAAATTTATTCACTAATGTGAATCAGCGTTGTTGGTGTCGCTGCTTTCGAGGTCACTCGCGACTCCTGTCACACAATTAAAGTATTTTTTGTTGTTGGTTACATGTATGCCACATTTTTCGTAATCTACCTAATAAATTATGATTGACTGAGGAAGTCCGATTTTGGTCAAGCAAAACATTACAGGAATACATTTGTGCTAGTGTGCTGTAGGGCTCTCGAATTGCATAGTTCTAATGTATGTTCTATTCAATTCAAAAGTCTTGCTGCACACGAACACAAATATATTTCTGTAACGTTTCAGCATCCTTGCGTAATACGCATACGGATCCACCTGCACAAAGGCATAGAGAGCAAGGAAAGGTAGTTAGTTTCACGCAACCTCAACTGTTAGTCACGTTTGCTTCTTCGTGAGACTTCTGTATCCACAATGGATCCTATCAACTCCGAACTCAACAACTACTACAATAAACAAATCTACAAACATCACAAAAAGGACTTCAACAAATTGAAGAAAATTACACTAAAAGAAACCAGACTACAACACCACAAGCTGAGCCTAGAACACTTCGTAGCAACAGGGACATCCCCGAAAGGTCTCCAATTTACCTATAAATCCTGTGTCACTCCGTTGAAAAACTTGACAAAATGACAGAACTTACATAAAAATGAAAGAAGATACTTGGAATTCCATCCGGTTTATGATTGATATTTCGAGAACTAATTTAACTGCAAAACTCAATAACACAAGAATGAAAAAAATGAGCAAAACAACTGCAACAAAAATAAATAACAAAGAATCGGCCCATTTCAATGAGACCAAAACCAAACCAAAAAGAAATGGAAGATTCAATAGAAAGCAGAAACGACGCAAAAAAGAGAAAATGGCAACAAAGAATACTACATTATACAATCTTTCTAATATCCACTAACCGAGCCGCAAATTAAAGTGTTGGAAAATGGCCTAGGTTTTAGTCCCACCCCCGAAAGATTTGATAACTTCCAACTACAAGCTGATATTGATAAAACTATTCGTAACTACCGCCTAAGAGAATACTTCTTTGATTGGTCAACTACAGAAAGCACAAGCGAATTGGCTCGAACTTACCCAAAGTCGTTACAGATCCCAAGCAAATGGACACGCCCCGCGGGGAGAAATTCAGATCTGGACCACTTTGCCAACACCCTGAAACGAGAAACTAACAAAGGAGCAATAAAAAAACGCACGTTTTCAAACCTCAAAAAAGACGAAGTCCAGGCTTTAAAAGAGCTCGAACAAAAAGCAGCAAGAGATATTGTTATCGTACCTGCTGACAAAGGTGGGGGCACCTGCATTCTCTCTAGATCAGATTATACCACTGAAGGCATGCGGCATCTTGCAGACAGTCTGGTCTACGAATACAATCCTAAAGACATCTCTAAACAAATTGGAAATAAAGTGACTAAATTACGTTATAATATGAAAAAAGCCGGCGTCATAGATGATAAACTGTTTAAAGCGATGATTCCAAAAAAACCAAACCAGGCCGTTTACGCTTACAGCCAAAAATCCACAAGGAAAATCATCTCAGTCGCCCAATTATCTCAGCAAATGAAACAGCAACAGTAAAACTCTCGGCATATATCGATCACAAGTTAACTGACCTCATGTGCAAAGAAATAATACCGTCGTATGTCAGAGACAGCATGGACTTCCTAAATATTTTGAAAACAAGAGAGCTATGCTCAAATATATGGACACGTAGAGTCACATAATTTTGATGACGTCATAGCGAAAAAAAAAGTAATAACCTTCTGGAGAAAATTTTTATCTTTAACCACTAAAAATTTCAAAGCAATTGGTCCAGTATTCGAAGAGAAAAGCGACTTTTTAAAAACGTGTCAAGCGGTACTGAGTTAGCAGTCAGGAGGCATCTTACCTGTACACTGTAGGCCATATACGTTAATTGATCACAGAACAGTTGTTCCCTTGCAAATTTTATGTTGTTTACACTTTAGGACAGATAATTGATCACAGAACAATTCTTCCCTTTCAAATTTTATGTTGTTTCCAGTAGACTCTCATCAAAATAAACAAATATAGTAGGCTACAAGTGCTACAACGCTTGCATTACTGCACTGGTAGGACCGTGAAAGAATAAGTTACGGTAATTTCATTGTGGTAAGACACCGGTACCGGCACCAGTACCAGTATCGTACTTACGTACTGAGCTACCAGTACCGGTTAGCAGTCAGCCAGCATCTTACCTGTACACTGTAGGCCATATACGGTAATTGATCACAGAACAGTTGTTCCCTTGCAAATTTTACGTTGTTTACACTTTAGGACAGATAATTGATCACAGAACAATTCTTCCCTTTCAAATTTTATGTTGTTTCCAGTAGACTCTCATCAAAATAAACAAATATAGTAGGCTACAAGTGCTACAACGCTTGCATTACTGCACTGGTAGGACCGTGAAAGAATAAGTTACGGTAATTTCATTGTGGTAAGACACCGGTACCGGCACCAGTACCAGTATCGTACTTACGTACTGAGCTACCAGTACCGGTACCGAACCTGTAGGTCTGATATTACGATAGGCTATAAAACTTGCATTGCAGCATTAGTAATACCGCGGAAGGAATAAGTCAATTTCACTGCGTTACGGTACCTGTATGGCAACTTACCAGTACCGCCCTACAGTAGCTGTAGTACTGAGCAAGACAATCGATCGCAAAACCGCTTGAAATAAGTGTAAAACAGTGTTCCCATGAGTAAAAATAAATACCGCGAAAGTTTGTATGAAATATCATATCTCATAGGATTCATATAAAATTTAAGAATAAACAAAAGTAATAGCCTTCTAGCGAAAAAATTAATCTTTAACCACTGAAAATTTCAAAGCAATTGGTCCAGTATTCGAAGAGAAAAGCGACTTTTTAAAAACGTGTCAAAGAACAAGAACAACAACATAATATTGAAACGATCGTTATGTCCACTACGTGTCCAACAATCGGCAATGTTCCCTCAGTATCCCTTCTAGTAACCATGGATGTGACATCATTATATACAAATATTCCACATCTAGATGGCATCTCAGCAGTTGAAAAGTATCTTAAAAAGCACAGTAATGACAAACACGAAATCCCGTGGATCAAAGAAGCAGTAAATATGGTTCTGAACACCAACAATTTTGTATTCAATGACAAACATTACCTCCAAATCAACGGAACAGCAATGGGAACCAAAATGGCGCCTAAATATGCCAACACATTCATGGCAAATTTAGAATCAAGGATGCTACAAACAGCCAAGATCAAACCGCTCTACTACTTCAGATATATCGACGACTGTTTTCTGATATGGACACACGGCGAAACCGAGCTCAAAGATTTCCTAAACCATGCAAATTCAATACACCCTACCATTAAATTTACTTTCGATTATTCAACGGAAAACATTGCCTTTCTAGACATAAAAGTTCATATAATAGACAACAAATTAGAAACTGAAATTTTCACCAAAGAAACGGACTCTCACCAATACCTTCTACCCTCCTCGTGCCACCCTAAGCACGTCACTGCAAACATTCCCAAAGGACTATTTATACGCAAAAGAAGAACATGTTCAACGGAAGAATTCTTCACCAAGCATGCAGAAATTATGAAAAGCTACCTGATAAAAAGAAATTACAAACAAACCTCGATTGACAAAACAATAGGCATGGTAAAAGAAATAACTAGAGATTCACTGTTAACACCAAAAAGAAAACACAATGATCAACAACTATTGCCATTCGTTACTAATTACCATCCTAATCAACCAAACTTCGGAAACATTTTCTCTAAATATCAATACATACTAAACAACAACGAAAGACTGAGAAACATCTTCCCGGCACCCCCCAAAATTGCATACAGGAAGTGCCCAACATTACGGGACAGACTAGTTCGGGACAAGTTGAAACCGGAATCATCAAGAGAAGTAAAATCAGGCTTCTATAAATGCAACAGGAAATCATGCTCAACCTGCAAATATTCAGAGGAAACTAAAACAAGCACTAGCAGCGTCACAAGACTTCAAATGAACATCAATCAAAGAATAACGTGCAATTCAGAAAATGTCATATACCTGATAACCTGTAGAAAGTGTGGCATGCAGTACGTCGGTGAAACAGGCAGACATTTAAAATACAGAATTACAGAACACATTAGAAGCACCAATCAAAAAAACAAAGACCTTGCAGTTGGCAAACATTTCAATCAGTCAGGCCATTCCATCAACGACTTTCTGGTAATTGGAATAGAAAAACAATATCGAGATCAAGTATACCGGCAAACGAAAGAAACCTATTTTATTAACAAATTCAAAACATTAGAACCACTAGAGATGAATTTAAGAGATGGATAAATTCACAATTTATGCTAATTTGAACATTACATTTCATTGTCACTTACACTTGATTTCTATTTCGCGGTTTAAGTCATTTCCTTACATTGCAGCCATGACCCTTAAAGGAACTTAGGAGATACCACAGTCGGAGTTACGGGATAACAGCATGAAATTGTTTAATTTTCTTTTCAATTGTCACTCACTACACTGTGGGGTATCTATTGATTTTAAATCAAATTTAGCTTCCCTATTGTTCTGGCACTGTCCCAATTTTATTTATATCTCTCTATCGCAAACAGACCCAACATTTGAAATCAATATTTATGTGCATGCAATTGCGTTTCTTGTTATAGTTGTAAAATGCTTGTCTGAAGAAGTCTGACCTCGGTCAGACGAAACGTTACAGAAATATATTTGTGTTTGTGTGCAGCAAGACTTTTGAATTGAATAGAATAGCCATTTACACTCTTGCTACAGCATCCTTGCGTAATACGCAATCGGATCCACCTGCGCAAAGGCATAGAGAGCAAGGAAAGGTAGTTAGTTTCACGCAACCTCAACTGTTAGTAGCCTATATTGTATTTGTTTATATTTTATTGTGGATTTTTTACTTCCGAAACTTTAACAGTTTTCATGTCTAAAATATATTATGGTCCTCGTAGTCGTGTGTGTCTTTGCATTTGAGTGTTCACTATTCCGTGTGTGTAGCTGTGAGGTGTAACCTTGCACTGAGCCATTTTTCGTATCCGTGATAAGCATAATCATAGCATTTAAAGACCGAGAGACACCACCACCGAGCTAAGAAGAGATGCTACAAAGAGAAAGATCAACATTCTTCCACCAGCTTGCAATAACATCGTGAACTTACTGTAAAATAGAAAGAATCCAAACAACGAGATTTTTGATATTTTTTCGTAATGTGTCTCTGTGTAAAAATAGCATTTGTAAAATGTTTTGAAAGAGGTTTCTGGTTCGCTATAACTGGTAATCAGTTTTAAGGTAGGCTATAACAGTGCAGTCGTGCAATTTCTGTTGTGAATTAGTCTTACAATTTCTCATTGCAGCTATGTTGTATGATATACGTATATATGTTATATGTGGACTTCATGTAGTCAAATAAATATAATTATATTTTCATTTTATAGTAAAATGTATATTTACATTTCTTTCCCGCCCTCGTTTTTCATCGGGTATTCCATTTTAACTTCATTATCGTTTATATCCAAATTGTTGGTTACGTAGAGTTGTCCATCCGTAGAAGGCAAATGTCCAGCTTGGCCCCTTTTGAGAAGATGCTCGATCTATTTTCCAAAAATGAGTTTTGCTTGAATCATTCTTGACGCTGATGTGATCATGCTTTTTCACAAATTCATCTCGAATCCATTTGTTGTAGTTTTTGTCGCAAATCTCGAATCCTGATTCTTCCTCGCTATCACTGCAGCCTTGACTGTCTTCTTTTTTAGAAGTGCTGCTTCCCATGGTTTATTTATATTCAGTACTTGAAAAAGACAATCTGGGGGCAGTCGCTCTCCCCAATAATTTCGCAAAACATTTCAACTCATGTTGTTTCCGCCCTAAGAAATTATCATTTCCGAAAAGTGCGATAGTCGAGCGCGATTAAACGGTTAATAGTTATCGATATTATAACTGTTTTCTTACAATAATGTAGACCGGAGCGCCTTCGGACACCTCACATTTTCGTGAAACATGCGCGCCCGCAAGGGTAATACTTATTCTTCAAACGTATCGCCGATCACGCGCCACGGTTTTGCACAACTAAATCATTTTTGTTACAATTTAATATGTTTTTCTCATTGTCATAATCTTTCAATAGTGTTATTGTTGGCACTTGCGAAAGAAGTAAAAGAGGGAAACTGTATTTCATTTCAACAATTAATTATTATCGCTAAAACATTAGGTATATTTAAAGTTGTTATAAACAAATTTTACCGCTGGATGTATCTTTTCGCGTTTTGGATTTCGTGCAAGGCCCGAGCATAATATGCGGGCAGAGATCAAAGCTTTTACTATGTCGAAACGCTTATTAGACTTTTCAGACCACAGAAACTATCGAAAAAAGATGACCGTTTTTGTGTTCGAGATATGAAATATTCTCCAATTCCACTTCGCGTCCGTGAAGTAGTGTAATTTACTACGGGGTCGATTAATTACAAGGTCGACCCCCCTCCTTCTTTGAATTTTTTTGAAAACTGAAACAGTCGCTAATAACGCGTGCAATTGCCTTTTGCTAAAATCGTCGATTGTTTTCCTCATTATGACGTGTATCGATTGAATGCATCGGAAATCGCAAAATTTCGTGTGTCTACGGCACACATTATGTTTGGTTAGCGTTTAGAAACATTTTGTCACTAAAATCGAAACACGGTTAATTGTGGGTGGGATTTGCCTTTTTATCCATTACTTTAAAATTGACGTCGAAAATTTTTGTGTTAACATTAAACAAGGTTGAGAACGCGACTATTTCCCGGTTTGTGATAATATATAAGATAATTAATCTAAAGTATATTCGATCAATTTTTATTGTACTGAAATAAATTTTACTTCGTGAGATTTTACAGCAGATTTACGGGTTTCTTGGAAGGTTTTATCTTCAAAAATAATCGGAGTGGCAACATTGCGATTGAGCGGAGTCAGCATTACAAGTACATCTCAAATTTATCGAATTCGCAAAACGGCAAAAATACGGATCAAAACAATATATAATCGGGCAGTTTACCACACATTATTATGTCCGCGGATTGCCTTGGTGTTTTGGAGTGGCTCTCGTTTTGTCGACGCAACCGCAGTTTAAATTGGAGACAATTAAATTAACAAAGCAAGACATGTTAAATAAGCCCGTATCGGTCTCTGATTGATTCCTTTGCACAAGTGAAAAATAATTTTTCGTTGAAAAAGTCGGCACTTTTAACAAGTGGCGCAATCGCGGCGACTGTTCAGAGTGGATTTCGAGGCGTTGAATTTGTATTTTTGATTTACTAGTATACCTCATCATTATTTTCATTGTATGAAGTAAAATTGCACTATACTGGATTTTATATCAGATATCGAGTTTTTTGTAACGGCAATAACGAGTTTGGAAGGTTGCAAAAATACATATATATCAAAATACACGAGGCAGCGTATCTCTTATTTTCATGTCCACAGATCGGCGTTTTTTTTAAAGTTTGGTAATTTTTATTCTGACGTAAGAAGTCGCAACCGCGAGTTACGTTGCACACAATCAAATTAATATATATATAGGGAAATTTTAGAATCTCGTGGTAGTCATGGAATGAATATTTTTTTCGTGACAGAAAAATCAGGGATTGAATATTTTACGCGACAGAAAAATTATTATACGCTTAAAAACGGCGGCTCTTTTAACGAGCGCGTAATCGCGGTGACTGTTACAGACGGCAATGGGAATTTCCGATTTTGACCCCCCTTTGAAAATCCTGGCTGTGCGCCTGAATTTGTGCCTGTTTATTTTCGTATTAAATTAATAATAAAAACTCTGAAAAGTCATTGCGTGAATCCTGAATGTCATTTTGAGTTCAATTGAATATTTATTAAATCGGCAATTCTACTAGTCAAATAATAATTCCTTTGTAAAATTTAGGTAATATTTCGCACAATAGATTGTTTGTTACCTTGTTTTGCATTTCAAAATTTATTGCGCTTTATGCAGAGCTGAGAATTGAATCAATACCCAAATGCGACTCCTCAAATTTGTCGTTTCTGTTTGTTAGCAAGAGCCGTGAGGTAATTCTCGCGGAATTCAAAGGATCGGTTTAGTGCCGCACAAGTTCGGTGTCCAAGCAAAGCGGCCTAGGTACTCGATATATGAGTAGCAAAATGACATTCTAATTATTAGAGAATGACATCGACAGGTTATTGTTATGTGACGATACACGACGCGGTGTTTTGCGGTTGTCGTTCCAAGTCCCCCCCAAAAAAAAAAAAAATTTCATGGAAAGTGTCCGCCCCTGGTTCTCCAGGTATTACCGTTAAAATTCACAGATAAATAGTGTATAATCAAGTAAACCATATCGAGGATTCTCACAAATCAAGACGTTTTGTCTCCGTACCTAACGTTAGCATAAGCAGTTTTGAGTAACCTCAATACTGATATAAATAAAACCTTATACTGGCGCTCTTACATAAACTTTCTAGAACGTTACCTTGTACCTCAATTGATACACATTGCTTCAGATTGGTGCAATACAGTTTTTTCTCCTGCTAGTTACTAAGGTAACACATATATCGCAACCAGATAGCAAAACGTAATGTAGCAAATATTCTACTCATGCGTTGTTGACGACCAGAACAAGTGCTTGTTATTATAGGTGGATGGCAATCTGGCGTGACGGAACAGAAGCTTAAGAAACAAATCTGAAGTGAGACATAAGAGCAGAGGAATGTAGCGGTAAGATGAATTGATTTTGTTGCCTAACGATTTCGCGCGAGTTTGTATGCCATACCTCATTAGACAGGGCCGTACCAAACTTTTCGGCTGCCCAGGACGAGTTTCTGATAATGATCTGCCTTATACCTAACCTTAAAAAATAATTCAGGTATAAACAAATTATAGATGTTGTTATACAATTCAGGGGTCACCAAACTTTTTTTGACCGCGGGCCGGGTATGACTCAAACTGTGTTGAAACGGGCCGGATGAATATTCTTGTCAAAGCAATATAATAAATTCACAAAGTTGGGAAATCCATTCAACAATATATCTTCTACATTTCTGAAGACTTGATTCAAATTCTATCTATATCGCAATCAGGAACATCCTAGGAAAACAAATATGACAGATTTCAATATCTAAACAACTATCCTGAGTTTAGCTGGTATCAAAACGTTTCTGTCGTGAATTAGGAATTTTCAAAATCCGCTTTTTCGCGCCAAAAAATGTACGCATCATGTCTGCTAAGTACCGTTATGCAGTGTTAGAAAACCGCTCATAAAACGACTACGGACTGCTTGCTGTAGCTTAGAATTCCATGAAATTTTGAC